GACCCAAAGCTGCCTGGAGTCAAAGAGAACACCACAAAGCTTTGCAGCATTACCTACAGGAACAAAGGATCCTGCAAGGTAGATCTTCACGAAGACCCCAGAGGTTACCTGAGACACTGCAGGGTAAAATAGCAGTGAGGCGTGTGGTACATAACCTACCTAAGAAGAAGGATGATATACAAAAAGAATGGCCTTGCTAAGTCCTTTACAAGTTTATTCAACAGGGGCTAAACCAAACCAACAAGCCCTGCTCCTGGCAGGGGAAGTTCTCGTTTTTGTTTCAACCATGTCTGGACTCACATCCCACTAGCTGGAAAAAATGAATGGGAAGGTGGCCTTCCAAAAGCATTGGAGTTTGCTGGAGAGAGGATAGTTTTGGAAAGTCTCCATGGTGTCTAATGAAAGGGTTGCCTGCAAAGGGGAAGGAGGAGGACTTGTTTGAATTGAACTTATGCCCAGAGAACAACAGCTGACAGTTCTCTGTCTATCACACAAAGCTGAATGAAGACTGAAGAGGTAAACCTGCTTTCCCATCCATCCAGCCTCTTTGTTCATGGGACAAGGTGTCTGGGCCTTCAACTCAAGCCAAACAAGGGTCTGGACCCCAGCTATCAGTATGAGCACTCCCTCTCTGGTCAGTCTGTATTTTTGGTATAAGTTTCTGTGCTGTTCAATACAAAATTCTGAACTGCCAAGAAGGAGTTTTTTTCTAGCGAGTTTAATCTCTTAAGCAGCTCTGCAAAGATGGTGGAATAGGGGAGGACTAACAGATGCTGCGCAAGTACTACAACCCATCTGGTATAAATGCCATAGGAGGGCGGATGAATAAAGTGTGACTACGAGAGTATTAGGGGTGCCTTTCCTTGCTAAAGATATTCTCATGATTGCAGATCTCAGTGCATTGACGACATTTTAAGCAAAAATAGGGGAACGGGGAAAGAAGTCTATCTGACACTTCCTTTCATATTCATGCAAACACATGCACGAAGGAAACTAAACCAAGACCTATCACGCAGTAATAAAGACTGCATTTCTCAGATATCGTTTCATTTATTTTGGAGACAGAGCATTATTCAAGTCTGAAACAGGACTTGATATGACTCTCTTCTAATTCCTCACACCTGAACCTTCAGCTGAGATGACTTGCAAGAGCATTTTGTGCTCTGGCATGGGAGATAAAAATTCCAGAGCCTGGTGCTCTCCCAGAAGGATGGGTAATTTCAGAGGTGCAATTAACTATATTTCTTAAGAAATATCTGGATTTCTGCATGCTTTGCTGGAAGAACTTGCGCAGGCTGATTTCTTCTGGCGGACCGCCTTTGGCTGACATCTGTAGCAGCAATCACGGGGGTTGCTGGTAACCAGGGCTACCCCACAAACAGCACTGCTGCGAATCAGGAGACACCTACATTACAAGGGTTGTTAGAGAGCAAATTTAAGAGAAAACGGAAACCTCCCTTTCAATGCCAGAAATAACAGTTCTATGTAAGTGCTTCTGCTCCCTGGCTCTGATGCAGAAGAGGGATGAGGGCACATGTGAAGTGCAGGAGTGCCACCTCACAGCTATGGGTAGTAAAACGGAGGATCTGGCCCAGTGCTTCCGAATTTTAAGCTTTAAGTACCCACCCCAGCCCCTTGGATAGGAAGTTCTCAGGTTCTGCTACCATCACTGTGGATCCTCCTAGGAAGGAGCAGTTGTGGCCAAGTATCCGAACACAACCTATGTTTGTAAGGTTATAATTAACTCTTGTTAATATGTATTTCCAGTTGGAAATCATTGCTACCCACCCCCCTCCAAAAACACTCCAACTACTGAGAAAAGATGGATGTTTGCACTTTGGATGCTTTGAAATAATGCTTTAAGAAAACATTTGTTCAAGGCTTAATGCGTCTTAGTTCAGCTTCTGGTACTTTATAAGCTACCCTTTACACTTTGGCAGCTTTCAATTTCCGTGTGTCTAGTGACATGACTGGTTAACTTGCGCTGATAACATGAATTCCAATGAAGGGGTAACTGCCTCTTTCCTTGCAGAGCTACACAACATTTCTCCTTATTTATCTGATGGAAGTCTTCCAACATGAGGAAATCCTCAGGCACAGACTGAAGGGTTTAGCCTATGACACTCAGCACGCGTGCATAATGATGCTGCTGTTGTATGCCTCAGTCTTCCAACATGAGGAAATCCTCAGGCACAGACTGAAGGGTTTAGCCTATGACACTCAGCACGCATGCACAATGATGCTGCTGTTGTATGCCTCAGAACTGGATTTCTCTTGGACAAAACCTTCCTGCGACTGCAAGGTTAGAACGGATCATACAATTACAGCTGTTAAAAATCATAAAGAACTGCTGCTGCCCAAATAACAAAAAAGATAGTTCCAGTCTCAGAAGGACTTACCACTCTAAAAACTGTTCCCAGCACCATCCACTCTGCACAGCAAAATGCTATTTAAGCCACATGATGATTAATCACTTACTTTCAAACTTGCATTTAAGTTGGGAATTTTTTAGATTATTTTTAATAAATATATTTAAAGTATATATAACCTAATCTTTCACCACAAGGATTCTAAACACAGGAATAATTTGGTTAAAACCGCAAATGAGGTGAGATTGCAAGACTACCCAAACACTCTTTAAGCTTGGTGATCTAGAATACAACCATTGACGATGTGCTTTATAAATTGCTACTGCTGAGGGTCGGAGGATAGGTGGGATTCTGAATGTGGCTATCAGTTCAGGTAGACCATACAACATCTAGCAATTACAAAAGGTCACCATATGCAAACAGGAAACAATACACTTTGACGTTATTGCAGTTTTCAATAGGCTGTTCATAAAAACTCACTTTAGCTTCAAAAATAAAATTTAAAAAACCCAAGCCCATTGCTTCCCTCTTCGAGACCTTCTTCTGGTGTGCCCTAAGGGTCTCTTAGACCTGATTTGCAGAAAAATAATGATAAAACAGTCCCAGCAACTCTACTTCAGTGACACAATTTTAACAACTTCTCTCAGACAACAGGATCCCTTTGTCAAACAGAACAGAAGTAGCTACAAATAAGCTACTCCTTGTGTTTTCTAAATCCACGAAAATGAAAGAACAGGCTCCTTCCTATATTCATGTAACATCACATTCACAGTTTTAACATGTTTTCAGTCATCCCACAGCTCCGTATCTCATATTAGCACGGAAGAAAGCTATTTCTGCTACAACAGAATACAGTGACTTCATTTACTACACATAAAGTGAATAAGCAACTTACCTCTATCTGCTTATCTTTAAAGATGCTATTGATGCTGTTGTTAAAAGCTGCTCCAGAAAACATAGATGTTATTGGATACGTCAAGTCTAGAATAGTCTTAAACACTGAGTTCATAACCTAAAAAGAAAGGGAAAAAAAAAAGGCATTTCAAAGGTAACTATATGCAAGAATCCATATTAATGTATGCATTAATGTGTGCAATTCCAGATTCTACATCCAACACAATGGAAGCACTGCTATTGTAAGTACAAAAGTTGTCAAGGGGACAGAAATACAACTACAAAAACTACAACCAGTAACTCCTTGTATGGTGCCATACATTTAAAACAAAAAGCAGCAAACTTTGTAGCCAGTTTGCAATAAGGCTATGGAAGAATGTACATTTGCATTGCTTCCCTTCTACCCATAAATCAAAACGTCCCTCTAAAGCAGTGTGCACGGGCACAGGTTTCTGCCATAACAAATGCATGTGAATGGTACAGTTTAATTCTTGACTATTTTTCTTTTAATAACAGAAAGATATTATTAGTGATCTCCCTCTTCATTATCCTTTTGCGTTGAAACTTCAGCTTGTTTAAAGTTTTCCACAGCGTATGTGCAGTTCACCTGTGTGCAGTTCACTTAATTTTTCTTCCAGTCTGCAGTCTTTTTGATTATAAGTGTAAGCACTTACAAAAATGTGTATGTGATTCTCTGGGACTGCAATGAGGTTAACTCAGTCACATTTTAAAGAGCTTTAAACACACTTTCTATGTATTAGTGTCAATTATTTTTCATTCCCAAGCGAGTTATTGTGCTCTTCACCTGCTGCTTGATAGCCATCATTTAGATACTACTATGGGCACTCTACATAAGCTAGAGAAACCAAATCACATTACATTTCCTAAAGCGCTATAGATACCTACTGTATTACATAACAGCGGCAGGCACTGTCAAATGTGTCTCTTCTAAACACACGTATACCGTAATTAAGCTTTCATGGATTCTTTTTTTTTTTTTTTCCTCCATTTCAAGTGCATTATATCTGTGTGCTAACCTACAAGATAAAATGATGAAAATACAATCATAGAATCATAGAGTAGTTTGGGTTGGAAGGGACCTTTAAAGGCCATCTAGTCCAACCCCCTGCCGTGGGCAGGGACATCTTCAACTAGACCAGGTTGCCCAGAGCCCCGCCCAACCTGACCTTGAATGTTGCCAGGGATGGGGCATCTACCACCTCTCTGGGCAACCTCTTCCAGTGTTTCACCACCCTCATTGTAAAAAGTTTCTTCCTTATATCTAGTCTAAATCTACCCTCTTCTAGTTTAAAACCATTCCCCCTTCTCCTGTCGCAACAGGCCCTGCTAAAAAGTTTGCAGCCATCTTTCTTATAAGCCCCCTTAAATACCTGAACATATGGCATTATGGCCACTGTATTTGTCCGATAACCATGCTGTTGGTCTCAAATCCTAATAAATCCTAACAAAATTCAATGTCTAATATATTACATCATACTCAGTTAAAATGCAATAGAAGACCAAAAAAGCCCAATGAACAATGAACTCATTTGCAATTAAGAAGGGTTTCACTGGATGAAATATTTCTATTAGATGAAGTATCTTCTCTCTCCGCATGTTCTCTATAATGTAACAAACTTAACAGACAATATAGCATTGTACCCAGGCAGAGACCTACAGCATGAAACAGCCTCTAAACCTGCAGCCTATTAAAGGATCTGTGATCAACATCTAGCATTTGCTTTACTCTAGCAATGATTTAAAGAAGAGCAGGATTAGCCTAGATTGTCATGTCCAGCTGCTTTTAAACATACATTAGGTATCTGCCCAGAGAATACATATCCAACTATTAAAAAAAAAAAAAAAAAGAAAAACAAAAAGAAAAAAGATCCTTAAAAACAAGTATATAAACAGGAAACGTGGGAGAACATAAAAGCCTTAGCACAAAACCAACTATGAAGCTGTCAGCTTCATTCACATCCTCATTTTAGGTTCTGATGGGGTGAGGACAGTGCCAACCTAACTATAGACATGCTACCCACAGATTCAGAGTTAAATGGAATTAGTTTTGTAATTAAAATAGGGATTCGGTCTCTGACGTTACTTAGAATGATAAAATCAAGGAAAGAGGCATTTACAGAAAGTCCCTTATTTAATACTGAAGAAAAATCTCTCCAACTCAGCACCAAACATCGGGCTATCTTGTTGTGAATGATCTTTGTAATGCCGAGCCTCTAC